ATCAGCTTCTCGAGGATCTTCAAGAGAGATCTGAGCGTCTGAGGATGATGATAGAGGAAGAGGAGATCCTTGCTGAGGAATGTCGCCGTGCAGGGCAACAAGTAGATGATGAAGTGGACAACGTGCGAGCCTACCTGGAGGACATGATGGACGAGGTTACTCAGCTGAAGGCGACCGGTGGAAAGGTTTCATCAGAAGCATGTTTGAAAGCCGCAATGGTGCAAGAGGAACCGGACTATGAAAGACTTCTGCAAGAATTGGATGGAGACTTAGAAGTAGTCCACACCGTCCCTCTACAGCAAGTTCGTGCTGCTTTGGATCAGTGGCGGGAAGCTTTGGAGAAAGAGGTGACCCAGCTCTTAGATGGAACGTTAAGGCCCATGCCAATTGACCGTGCAAAGCAGATGGAAGCTCAAGGCCTCTTGAAGTTGGTACAGTCAAAGGGCGTCTTCACCTTGAAGCCACCACAGGTCAAGGGCAAGAAGGTGAGGAGAAAGTTTCGACTCGTCCTATGTGGGAATCAAGTTGATCGTGATGACGAAACTTTCAGCTTGTATGCTAGCGGGGTGAGCGCCGACACAGTGCGGCTAGCCTTAGCTTATGCCTCCCACAAACGTTGGTATGGTGGAACCTCCGACGTCACCGGAGCCTTTCTCCTGGCTTCGTGGCCAGACCATCTAGCAAGGTATGCAATATTCCCTCCGAGGGTTCTCATCGATGCTGGACTTGCGCGGGGTGATGAAGTATGGGAAGTCATGCGGCCGTTGTACGGCCTTCGTGAGTCGCCGGCCATCTGGGCGAAGTGCAGAACCCAACGCTTAAAAGAAGCCCGCATATCATTCCAAGGTCGCACTATCGTGCTGAAGCAGTCCACGGCAGATTCAGAGATATGGCTTGCTTTCGACGAGGATGAGGTGCTGAGGTCAAAGGGCAGCCTCCTGGCCCTTATCATCACCTACGTTGATGATCTCCTCTACCTGTCGGATAGACCGGTCATTGAAGCAATCCACGCCTGGATCCAAGAGGCCTGGCCCTGCAGCGAGCTGGAATGGGCAGATGGACCTACCGGAACCAGGTATCTGGGAATGGAGATACAGCAAAGGCCAGACTTCGCGTTCGAGCTATCACAGGAAGGGTACATCCGGGAGTTGCTGCGCAGCTATGGGATGGAAGATGCCCTGTCCACGAAGCTTCCGTGTCCGCGAGAATGGTTGGCAGGTGATGACTCTGAGGAGGAGAACTACACCATGGCCGAGCTCAAGCAAGGTCAGAAGGCAGTGGGCGAACAGCTGTGGTTGATGATGCGTTGCAGACCAGACTTGCAGTTTCCTGTAGCGTATATGGCCTCGAAAGTCAGCAAGTGCCCCAACCGCGTTGTTCAAATTGCCAAGCGTTTGTTAGCGTACCTGAAGACTACGGCATCAATGAAGATGGTCATAGGGAGCAAGGCAGACAACGAGTTCCAGCAGACTACACCCGAACTTGTCGCGTGGAGCGACGCGAGTTTCTCGCCAAGTGGTGAAAAATCGTTTGGAGCTTCAGTGGTTACAGTGAATGGTTACCCTGTAGCCTGGAAAGCCAGTAAGCAGGCCTTCGTTACCTTGTCGGTCATGGAAGCAGAGCTACTGGAGGCTTCAACTGCAACGACGCTACTTGAGAACATTGGATGTTTGCTGGACGAGTTGGCAGGTGCTCACGTTCCACGACGACTTCTGGTGGATAACGCATCAGCAGTCGCGATGATTGCTGGTGGACCAGGGAGTTGGCGCACTCGACATTTGAAGGTCAGGAGCGCCAAGATCAGAGAGCAGGTCGAGAACCTTGAGCTGATCGTAGAACATGTGGGAGGCAACGGTCAACTAGCGGATTTGGCAACAAAGATGCATGGAAAGGTTCGCCTTTGGGAACTGCTTTCTTTGTGGGGGTTTCGAGGCCTGCCAGACGAGGCTATTCAGGCCCTGCATACAAAGAGCCTCTACCTAACCTGTTTGATATGGGCGATGATGATGCAACCGGTGACGGCGAACGACTCCACGAACACCAGAATCCAGATGGCAGGAGTGGATGAGCTGCTGCTAGTGACGGTGCTTGTGTGCTTTACAGCGGTCACAGTATGGGAGCTCATCAAATATGGCACTAAATGGGTGCTAAAGGCTTGCAGAGAATCCCCTAAGCAAAAGCGCTTGAGGAAGCTAAGAGAAGCAGCCAAGGCTGCTGCTGAGGAGGAGGTTGACCGCGCGGTGCTTGCGCGTTCGGGGGAAACCACACCTCCACCAGAACCTCATCCTACAGCGAGGCCTTCGAGGGTGATATCGAGTCCAGAGCCAATGTACCCCACTGGTGCAGCTTTCGAGCGGATAGCCCATGATGCCTTTTACAAGACGGACTCGAATCGCTCTAAGCTGCATACGGACCCTCAGTGCCATGGGCTACGAAACGCGGGACCGGTTTTCAAGCTGGAGTACTGCGTTTATTGTTCCAAGAATGAGCCGATCTATGTAAAGAGATCTCGGTCCGAACCGAGAAGACACCTATGAGCAAATGATGGGGCGGAGCTGTTGCTCTGCATTGCAAGCCTTGGCTGTGGAGCAGCTGAAATTAAAATAACCGCATTCTAGTGACCCAAGGACGGAGTGCCTGGGTCAAGGAGGAGTGTGGAATCTCTGGAGTGTCAGCTTGCTTAGTCCTTGATGGCCGCAGGCACAAGATTGCTCCACGACGTGTCAGAAATCATTTACCATAGCCACAGATCCTGTATAGGCATAGCAGTCAGCTGAAACGAAGCTGAGACAAAGCACTTGTTCTGTGTGGTAAAACATCGGTGTCCGAATTCGCACATGGCTCTGTATCATTGAGGAACGTGCATCGAAGTGCACAGCAGCAGTCATCCGGAAGATCCGTTCTTCTACATAACACTAGTAAGAGCAATCTTCATTCAAATCTTGATGACAATAATCATACTATTTTCAGCAGCAGCGATTCCATTGTCTCTGTGGGCCCACGTGCAGTGCTCTGTTGCGCGCGACCTGGGAGGAAGTCGTCTCTCGCTGATCTAGCTCTTGCCATGATGCCCGCGCTAAACACTATTCCCTAAACCGTCAAGCTTCGAGGTTCCACGAGGCCCCAAGAAGGCACCCGAGAGTTTGCGAAAGCTGAGCTAGCACTCATGGAAACTGACGTACAACCAAACCCCGAATTTAGTGTAGGGTTTGGGTATACTGGTTCAGGGTTTCGGGGGTTTCAAGGGTTTGGTTAAGTGTTCGTCCTGGCGGAGTCGCCGCAGGGCATTTGCAAAAGGGTTTATACATCAAAAAGTCGATAAATGCGTAACTCAAAACATATACATAGCATACCCATATACATATATACTAGTACATAGTACATACATATATACATATATGCATTTAGACATATATGCATATATACATGCATACACCCATACATACATACATACATACATACATACATACATACATTCATAGACACATAGATACAGAGATGCACATATATATATATAATATGTATATACATGTATGCACATACACATGCAGTTACATATTATATATATACACATATGTATGCATATATATATATACACATACATGCATGCATACATACATACATACATACATACATGCACGCATGCACGCATGCATATCTAGATATGCTTGTGTATGCATATATATATATATAGATCTCTATCTATCTATCTATCTATCTGTCTGTCTGTCTGTCTGTCTGTCCGTCTGTCTGTCTATCTATCTGTTTACATATATATATATATATCTACATATGTGCACGCACACACACACACACACTCACACTCACACGTATGACTGTCACATAACGATGCTTCTTCGAAAGCTTCGATCTCCCAGGCCTTGTTGCTGCGGTAGAGGCCGCAGCCAGCACCGCCGAGACTGCACAGGAGCCCAGTAGCCACAACAATTTCTGTAGAGCGCTCGGGGCCCTGGCGGTTTAACGTGTTTTTGGTTTGCTTTCTAGACTCTGCACCGTAACAGTCGCGTGATCTTCGTTCCAAGTTTGTTCGGTTCAGTCTTTGCATAACGGTTCCTTGGATGTGGAGTCTTCGGCATAGTTGATGTTCAGGCTCTAGGAATCTAGGCGTCTCGGCGACGCCCACACTGTGAATCAACACACTGCCACTGTATATCATGATGTGGCCGGTGACAACAATACTCTTGGTTATCACACCACTGCTGTCTGCCACTGCTGCTGCTGCTGCTGCTGCTGCTGCTGCGACGGCTACCACCACCGCGACGACGACCACCACTGCTGGTCAGGTACCCCTGACAGTTAGATCAAGCTTATGAGCTGCTAAGAGCTGCGGATCCTTTCGGAGCCAGGAGGGCGCGCAGCAAAGCCCAGCGCAGCCTGCTCCCCGAGGCGACTCTGAGGCGCGTGTCATTTTTTCTGGCTTTTCTGGCATGTTTCATCTATATACTATATGTTATATATGTTATATAAGATTACAACAAATGATATTCGCATATCGTGTTCTACAATTCTGCGGATCTGATTCTAATGGCCACCAGGATCGTTCTCATTGGTAAAGTCGTGTTTGTTGCTGTTGCTGTTGCCGTTGCTGTTGTTGGTCTTATTGTGAGTGGTCTTTGCGTCTGTGTTCTTGTTGTTTGCTGCTCTTCTTCTTGTTCTTCCTCTTCTCGAGGGTGCGGCGGTGGTGGTTGTTTCGTTGTGTGCAGGGACTCACGTTTCCTATTCTGCTGTTTTGCAACTTACGGCTTCGACCTTGACTTGAGGGGTCAGGGCTTGAGCTGGGACCTGAAAGCCTAGAAACCCTAAACCCGAAACCGAAACCCTGGAACCTGAACCCTAAACCCCTAAGCCGGTGTAGGGAACCCAGCTTAAAGGAGCAGATCCGAGGCCTGAAATAGTCAGGCAGAAAATGCAAGAGCCGAGATGCAACGGAAATTGAAGTTGACCCCGAAGCCCTGGAATGATTCAAGTTGCCCCGCCCTATGCTACAACCAGGGGCCGTCGGTGCGGTTTCTGGTTAATGCAACCGTCGGCCGCATGGCACCTCGACTATGGATTTAGGGTCTAGGGTGCGGGTTTCGATTTGAAGTCTAGGGTTTAAGAATGTTCCATTTAAGGATTCGGGCGTAAGGATTAGGGGTTTGGGGTTTGGGATTTGGGGTTATCGCGCAAGATGCAAGGTCATATCATAGTGTCATCGTACATGAGAGGGTTAATGGTTTTGCGCAAGCAGGCATTGAGTCCAGTAACTACGGCTCGGCTCCAATCATACAGTGGCCCGAGTCAAGTGGGGTCCCTCGTGCCAGAGTCGGGGTAGGCGAGGTATGAGGTCGAGTTTGGGGGCTGGCAGTGGTGAGGTAATTCAGGGCTGAAGGCTTAATGAGATACGGTTGATGATATAAATCCTGCATTACCCATACTAAGAAATATTCCATATTTTCCCTTAGTTTAGGCTCCTGAATGTAATGCAGGATTGCTACCATCAACAATAGGGTTGTGAGTCCTTGCTTCGACTCCTCGTACTGCTGCACGCTCACACTGTGACAGTCTGATTCGCTCTTGCAGGCTCTTCGGAACCCTAAACCCTAAACCCTAAACCCTAAACCCTAAACCCTAAACCGTTGCAGGCTCTTCGGGCTTCAAGTTTCTGAAAGCTTTGAGACGGTGGCATTCTACGGGCCAAGCCACCGCTTCCCAGCAAACCTGTAAAGGGCTCCGGGGCCCCGAACGATGTTTCGGGCCCCAGCCTGGGCAGTGAGGCTTCCGTATCGTGGTCAGAAAAGAAACGCTGAACGCCTGAAGCCCCCGTTTGAATCTTTGCAATCAAAACCCTAAACCCTAAACCCTAAATCTTAAACCCTAAACCCTAAACCCAAGAGGCCGACATCCCCAAGCTGCTCATCTCAAAGGCTGAAGCCGACACCCTAACCCCTGAAGCCCCAACACCCGAAACGCTAAGTCCGGCGACCCCAGGCCGGAAACCTTTACCCCGAAGCCCTGAAACTTGAAAACCCTAACATCTAGTACCCTCACACTAGCCATGTTAGTAAACTTTGTTATCCGAGCCTTATACTTAGAACCCTTAAACTTAGAGTAACTATTCTCGTAACCTTTGTTATCAGAACCCTTTAAACTGTAACCATTCTCGTTAACCTTTGTTATCAGAACCCCTTAAACTTATAGTAACCATTCTCGTAACCTTTGTTATCAGAACCTTGCAGACCCTAAACCCTAAACCCTAAACCCTAAACCCTCTCAACCCTAAGCCCTAAACCCTAAACCCTAAACCTTAAACCCTAAACCCTAACCCCTAAACCCTAAACCCTTACAGCAACCTTTCTAGCCCGGAAGCAGCCCAGGATCGGCGATGGCTTCGAGACCTGCCG